CTTCTTCTTCTTCTTCTTCTTCTTCTTCTTCTTCTTCTTCTTCTTCTTCTTCCTCACCATCATCATCATCATCATTTACATCCTCTACAACTTTATTTGTTTGGGTGTTATACATATAACAATGAGACACCTATGTATTACAAGATGGTCTTCTAAAATATGAAAGTGACATATGGGCCAACACATACATTATTTCATTCTATTTGTGACTCCATTGTAGTGTCCATGATATCTGACATGGTAGCTCCTTAAATGAATGTGTGGAATTTCTTGTGGATAGTTGAAAATATGAAGTAAATTAATAGGTGGATGGTGATGGAAGGAATTGCTAAAGAAACTGGCATAGGATCAATGAAAAAAAGCACTAACATTTACTGGGCCCTGAATATATAACATGTGTTGCTACATGCTTTATATATGAAGATAAATAAGATAATGTTCATATATTTTTAATCCTCATCTCCTTATGATCACCTACCTCATTCTTTCCTCCTATCCCTGAAGGTGAAATTTTGTCACCAACATGCATGAACCATGGGACCTTAGCTAATTCATTTGAATTTACTCAGTCTCAGGATAATATGGAAATGAGAAAAAAATTCCATCTCAGAAGTTTCCTAGAAAGACTAAATGCAATTCAATATTTATACAGTTTCCATCACAATGTCTGGCATTTATTACCCATTACTTTTCTTCTCTCTTTGTATTTGAATTTGACCAATTTAATTTTGCCTGGCTGTCTGGAGGTGGGGTGAATTATAAAAAGGTTGCGTCACTATATAAAAAGACTGTAAGTATTATAGTATGATAAGTATAAGTATAGTATGATAAGTATTAAATCTTGATGATGGTACCAACTACTTTTTCTAAGTTTAATAAGATTTTCAACACCAGGTGTTCAATCAGCACAGAAATATAAATCTAACACTGTGTTTTGTTTTGTTTTTTAACTCTTACCAGGTATTGTAAGAGGTATTGTATTGTTGACGTCAATTTTTAGAATGTAGTACTAGGATTATGCTACCTTTTTTTTGTGCTTACTTTTGTGAATTAATATTTTTTAAAGAGGAAAATTAAATATTATAAAAATCTTAAGTACTTACTATTTTACCCATAGGCGCTCTCTCTCTCTCTCTTAGAGCAAGAATCCCAAGCATGCTCTGTGCTATCAGCATAGAGCCAGATGTGGGGCTCAGTTTTCACAAATCCGTGAGATCATGACCTGAGCTGATATCAGGAGTCGGATACTTAACTGACTGAGCCACCCAAGCCACCCATAGGCTATATTTTTTTTAACATACTGAATCAAAGTAGATATGCTTGAATTTATTACACATATTAAAGTTAATGTCTTTGGGGAGGTGTATTATGGCTGGATGTTTTTTTCATATCCTCAAAGTCTCCATGTTTATCACATTTGTGTATAAGCAAAGTAATCCATGTTCTGTCATAAATTCATTTTGTGTTGGTTGAATATTCTTGAGAAAAGAATTTCTCTCTTTGTCCTATAAATGTAAAATACTTTTATATTTCACAACTGCATATTTCCAATGTGGTTTGCATATTACAAATTCGTCATTATTACAATGTGATTGTTTTTTACTTTTCATATAAATGTCTCCCCACCAATAATACACCTGTACATTTACTTTATTTAAAATAAATTAGATGGGCACTTAGGGAATATTGAGTTAAGTGCTTAAGCAATTTTCAGAGCGTGAAGTAAAGTATCTCTTAGTCAATAACATGCGTATTTTTTCATGGTCAGATGGCTAGATAATTTGATACTCTTTCCTCTGTGGCTTTTTTTGTAGATCAAATTTGGCAAACCTTTAGGATAACATGTAGATTTCAGTCTACATGATTTTACATGTAGATTTTACATGTAGATTTTAGTCTGTAACTTTTAGTTACAGAGTCAGTAAACCTAGGGATAAGATCTTATTCAGCATTAGGCCCATTTTTTTTTACAGTATCCACCACTGCAAACTCTTATAAAAATCTATTTTAAGGCTATCAAACTGGGGCATTTTTGAGCCAAAACATTATACTCCCAACATCTTAAGCATGTCATAATAATAAAATACAGGCTCTGGCTGTTTCCATTTTTTAAAATCTTATTTTGATCATATAAATAAGTAAAGCAAAAGATTGCCATGAACCATTTTGGTTTTCTCTCTTGCGATTAAATTCTCCTACTCATTTCTGCCACCTGACTCTTCTTATTCATTTAGCAAGATAATGGCTGGTGTCATTTTGAATTACCTTTCTCTGAAGTAAACAAAACGCAACATCTTTTACAGAAGCTAATAGTTTGCCTACAAAATGATATAGCTGGTATTTGCAGCAGTTGTTTGCAGCTGGTGAGCTCATTAATATTTGCTTATCATTTATGTTCTCAACTACTCTATTCTTCCTCTCTCTCTCACACACATGCAGTGTAAATAATACTACTGTGAGATAAAAGTCAGTTTAGGGATCGTATCAGTTCTGCCATTCACTGTCTTGGAGGCTGTAGACTAGTTATTTAATAACTCAAAATCGTTTTCCTCATCTGTGAATTAGGGATAAAAATGTTCATCTTATATACTTGCTCTATCTAATGAAGGAGTATCTATAAATGCACAGTATTTGAGTTCATGTTATATAAACTGGTATAAATTGCATAAAAACTACCATATGTAATCAGAGCATCCAGATTATTAACTTTTTTGGATGTTATTTCAATAGTGCAAACATATTTTTGTTCAGCAGACCTGCAACTTATACACATGTATTTAAACCTCCACAAAAATATATTAACTATTGCCAAAAAAATTGGAATATTACATCTAAGAAAGGAGGAGTTAAGAAGAGGGAAGCATGAACAAGTAACTCACTCCAGCTGTATTTGGGGGATGGCAGCTGAGTAAAGGACCTCAATCAGATCTCCATGAAACTGTCTTTAAATTAACCCTTTATAAGCCTGTTAGTGCCATTACTAGTGGGAAAAGGAGGGTTTTATCTATAATTTAACAGGATGTTTCTCATCAGAAATTGTTTATTTATAAACTAACTAAAATTTATTTATTTGAGGGGCACATTGGTTGAAGAGTAGGAGGTGGCCACAAAAACATGTTCTTTTGGGGAATTAATGGTGTGCAAAATAGGACAGTACTCAAAACGAAATTGCTCAATTTAGTGAACTTGTTGGCAGATGACCTGGATCAAGATCCTTCATCACTGTTCTCAGTGGCCTTGAGCATAATAAATTAATAAAATTTAATAATAATTAATAATAACAATAATAATAATTAATAAATTTCTCTGAGACTTTCAAGGGTTTTTTTGAGTATTCAAAACTACATATATGAAACATCTATTATATGGTAGATTCTCAAAAAATAAAACTGATTACTATGATAAACTCTATTAAACACAACCCAAAAAGAGATGTTTTGTTGGAAACTTCACCTGATGGATTTAAACCCTTCTAGAAAATAGTATGTCCTCTATGACTTGTGCTTGCTTATAACCTTTGAGTCTTTAGGGAAGTTTAATGCCTCTGTGATGTGTGTTGAAACTTGACAATTCAATTATTTGTGTTAACATAGTATCCAATTTATCTATCTATCTATCTATATCTGTCCTTCTGCCTATCATCTCTCTCTCTCTCTCTCTCTCTCTCTCTCTCTCTCTCTCTCCTCTATCTCTCCCCCTCTTCTATCTCTATCTGACTTAAAAATCCCTTGGCATTAATCACAATAAAATACTGGCAATAATATATTGTTTCTCAATTTCCCATGTCATTCTTGTCAAAATTACTAGGAAAATGAAAGTCTTCATGTGCAATCAACTCCACTCCATAAGTCCATGAGTTATGAATCTTTTGTTACCATATGAATCATATAATTAGCCTCTGAAGAGATAGCACTGAACATTCCCAAATAATAGCTGTCTGACCATTAAATTAAGGAATTTCTGTAACCCTTTCTATGCATCCTACTAGATTTTTAAAGATGTAATTTAAAAAACACACACAAACACTCCTTTCTTCTCTATAGTAACTGCTCACTTGTGTGAGTGATTGAAACTTTCTCACAGCTCCCAAATGCACCCCTATGGTAATGAGCTCTCTTTTATTTCAGTTTATGTTCAGAAAAGTCAAAACACATGATTGGCATGGGTAAGATTGTCCTTTCCTCTGTGTACTATGGTTGATGGAAAGGAAGGGAGTAGAGGGAGGAAAAGGAACTTCACAGAGAATCTACTATGTTCTCGGTTGGTGCTATGTGATAGGGCAGCCAGTGGCCAACCACTTGAGGCCAAGAGAACACTTAAAATGTAGCGAGTACAAACTATGATGTGCCATAAGGATAAAACAGACATTATATTTTGAAGACAGTACAAATCCAGAATGTATAATAACTCAAAATGTTTTATGTTTATTGCATTTGGGTGATAATATTTTGGATATATTGTATTAAATATATTGTTATATATAATTATACCTGTTTCTTTTCACCATTTATTTTTTTATTTTTATTTTTTTAAGGTTTATTAATTTTTGAGAGGGAGAGAATGAGCAGGGGAGGGGCAGAGAGAGACCGGGACAGAGGATCTGAGGCAGGCTAGGTCTAATAGCAGTGAGCTCGATGCAGGCTCATGAACCGTGAGATCATGACTTGAGCCAAAGTTGGAGGCTCAACTGACTGAGCCACCCAGGTGCTCCTTCAATATTTATAATGTAATTATAGGAAAAGTAAAAATTACCTATGAGTCTTGAATTTATAGTGTATGTTTTATTTCTTTTGGACAGCACCATTCTACATATTTCACAACAACACTCTGAGTTATGAATGATTATTTTGTTTCCTACCTGTGTCAAGGGTCTTGAGGTTTGGCACTTAAGATCCAGTTTGTATTACTTTTGTGTTGCTACATAGCAAAATGTCACAGACCTAGTGATTTTTTTTAACTTGCTTTATTTTTTATTTTTTTTTAATTTACACCCAAATTAGTTAGCATATAGTGCAACAATGATTTCAGGAGTAGATTCCTTAGTCCCTCTTACCCATTTAGCCCATCCCCCCTCCCACAACCCCTCCAGCAACCCTCAGTTTGTTCTCCATATTTATGAGTCTCTTCTGTTTTGTCCCCCTTCCTTGTTTTTATATTATTTGTTTCCCTTCCCTTATGTTCATCTGTTTTGTCTCTTAAAGTCATAATATGAGTGAAGTCATATGATTTTTGTCTTTCTCTGACTAATTTCACTTAGCATAGTACCCTCCAGTTCCATCCATGTAGTTGCAAATGCTAAGATTTCATTCTTTTTGATTGGTGAGTAACACTCCATTGTGTGTGTGTGTGTGTGTGTGTGTGTGTGTGTGTGTGTGTGTATACACCCCATCTTCTTTATCCATTCATCCATAAATGGACATTTGGTCTCTTTCCATACTTTGGCTATTGTTTATAGTGCTGCTATAAACATGGGGGTGCATGTGTCCCTTCGAAACAGCATACCTGTATCCCATGGATAAATGCCTAGTAGTGCAATTGCTGGGTCTTAGGGTAGTTCTATTTTTAGTTTTTTGAGGAACCTCCATACTGTTTTCCAGAGTGGCTGCACCAGCTTGTATTCCCACCAACAATGCAAAAGAGATCCTCTTTCTCCACATCCTCACCAACATCTGTTGTTGCCTGAGTTGTTAATGTTAGCCATTCTGAGAGGTATCAGGTGGTATCTCATTGTGGTTTTGATTTGTATTTCCCTGATGGTAAGTGATGTTGAGCATTTCTTCATGTGTCCGTTGGCCATCTGGATGTCTTCTGTGGAGAAGTGTCTATTCATGCCTTGCCCCATTACTTCACTGGATTATTTGTTTTTTGGGTGTTGAGTTTGATAAGTTCTTTATAGATTTTGGATACTAACCCTTTATCTGACATGTCGTTGGCAAATATAATCTCCCATTCTGTCAGTTGCCTTTTAGTTTTGCTGATTGTGTCCTTCACGGTGCAGAAGGTTTTTATTTTGATGAGGTCCCAGTAGTTCTTTTTTGCTTTTGTTTCTCTTGCCTCTGGAGACGTGTTGAGTAAGAAGTTGCTGCAGCCAAGATCAAAGAGTTTTTTGCCTGCTTTTTCCTCGAGGATTCTGATGGCTTCCTGTCTTACATTTAGGTCTTTCATCCATTTTGAGTTTATTTTTGTGTCTGGTGTAAGAAAGAGTTTATTTGAGTTTATTTTTGTGTCTGGTCCAGGTTCATTCTTCTGCATGTCACTGTCCAGTTTTCCCAGCACCACTTACTGAAGAGACTGTTTTTATTCCATTGGATATTCTTTCCAGCTTTGTCAAAGATTAGTTGGCCACACGTTTGTGGGTCCATTTCTGGGTTCTCTATTCTGTTCCATTGATCTGAGTGTCTGTTCTTGTGCTAGTGCCATACTGTCTTGATGATTACGGCTTTATAGTATAGCTTGAAGTCTGGGATTGTGATGCCTCCTTCTTTGGTTTTCTTTTTCAAGATTGCTTTGGCTATTCAGGGTCTTTTCTGGTTCCATACAAATTTTAGGGTTATTTGTTCTAGCTCTGTGAAGAATGCTGATGTTATTTTGATAGGGATTGCATTGAATATGTAGATTGCTTTGGGTAGTATCAACATTTTAACAATATTTGTTCTTCCTATCCATGAGCATGGAATCTTTTTTCCATTTTTTTGTGTCTTCTTCAATTTCTTTCATAAGCTTTCTATAATTTTCAGCATATGGATTTTTTACCTCCTGGTTAGATTTATTCATAGACATTTTATGGTTTTTTGTGCAACTGTAAATGGGACCGATTCCTTGATTGTTATTTCTGTTGCTTCATTGTTGGTTTATAGGAATGCAACCGATTTCTGTACATTGATTTTTTATCCTGCAACTTTGCTGAATTCATGAATCAATACTAGCAGTTTCTTGGTGGAATCTTTTGGGTTTTCCATATAGAGTATCATGTCATCTGTGAAGAGTGAAAGTTTGACCTGCTCCTGGCTGATTTGGATGCCTTTTATTTTTTTGTGTTGTCTGATTGCAGAGGCTAAGACTTCCAATACCATGTTGAATAACTGTGGCGAGAGTGGATATCCCTGTCTTGTTCCTGACTTTAGCGGGAAAGCTGTCAATTTTTCTGCTTGAGAATGATATTAGCGTTGGTTTGTTCATATATGGCTTTTATGAACTCGAGGTATGCTCCTTCTATCCCTACTTTCTTGAGAGTTTTCATCAAGAAAGGATGCTGTATTTTGTAAAATGCTTTCTCTGCATCTATTGAGAGAATCATATGGTTCTCGTCCTTTCTTTTATTGATGTGATGAATCATGTTAATTGTTTTGTGGATATTGAACCAGCCCTGCATCCCAGGTATAAATCCCACTTGGTCATGGTGAATAATTTTTTAAAGGTATTATTGGAGCCAGTTGGCTAATATCTTGTTGAAGATTTTTGCATCCATGTTCATCAGGGAAATCAGTCTAAAGTTCTCCTTTTTAGTGGGGTCCCTGTCTGGTTTTGGAATCAAGGTAATGCTGGCTTCATAGAAAGAGTTTGGAAGTTTTCCTTCCATTTCTATTTTGGAACACCTTCAAGAGAATAGGTGTTAACTCTTCCTTAAATGTTTGGTAGAATTCCCCTGGAAAGCCATCTGGCCCTGGACTCTTGTTTTTTGGCAGATTTTTGATTACTAATTTGATTTCCTTGCTGGTTATGGGTCGGTTCAAATTTTCTATTTCTTCCTGTTTCAGTTTTGGTAGTGTATATGTTTCTAGGAATTTGTCCATTTCTTCCAGATTGCCCATTTTATTGGCATATAATTGCTCATAATATTCTCTTGCTATTGTTTTATTTCTGCTGTGTTGGTTGTGATCTCTCCTCTTACATTCTTGATTTTATTTATTTGGGTTCTTTCCTTTTTCTTCTTGATCAAACTGGCTAGTGGTTTATCAATTTTGTTAATTCTTTCAAAGAACCAACTTCTGGTTTCATTGATCTGTTCTACTGTTTTTTTGCTTTCAATAGCGTTAATTTCTGCTCTAATCTTTATTATTTCCTGTCTTCTGCTGGTTTTGAGTTTTATTTGCTGTTCTTTTTCCAGCTCCTTAAGGCATAAGCTTAGGTTGTATATCTGAGATCTTTCTTCATTCTTTAGGAAGGCCTGGATTGCTATATACTTTCCTCTTATGACCACTTTGCTGCATCCCAGAGGTTTTCGGTTGTGGTGCTATCATTTTCATTGACTTCCATCTACTTTTTAATTTCCTCTTTAACTTCTTGGTTAGCCCATTCATTCTTCAGTACGATGTTCTTCAGTCTCCAAGTGTTCGTTGCCTGTCCAAATTTTTTCTTGTGGTTGATTTTGAGTTTCCTAGTGGTGTGGTCTGAAAATATGCACAGTATGATCTTGATGTTTTTGTACTTACTTAGGGCTGATTTGTGTCCCACTATATGGTCTATTCTGGGGAACATTCCATGTGCACTGGAGAAGAATGTATATTCTGATATTTTAGGATGAAATGTTCTGAATACACCTGTTAAGTCCATCTGGTCCAGTGTGTCATTCAAAGCCATTGTTTCCTTGTTGATATTTTGATTAGATGATCTGTCCATTGCTGTGAGTGGGGTGTTGAAGTCTCCTACTATTATGGTATTACTATCGATGAGTTTCTTTATGTTTGTGATTAATTGATTTATATATTTGGGTGCCACCACATTTGGCGCATAAATGTTTACAATTGTTAGGTCTTCTTGGTGGATAGACCCCTTGATTATGATATAATGCCCATCTGCATCTCTTTACACAGTCTTCATTTTAAAGTCTAGATTGTCTGATATAAGTATGTCTATTCCGGCTTTTGTTGACCATTAGTATGATAGATGGTTTTCCATCCCCTTATTTCCAATCTGAAGGTGTCTTTAGGTCTAAAGTGGGTCTCTTGTAAACAGCATATGGATGAATCTTGTTTCTTATCCATTCTGTTATCCTATGTCTTTTTGATTGGAGTATTGAGTTCATTGACATTTAGAGTGAGTACTGAAAGATATGATGCTTGTAGAGTTGGAGTTTCTGCTGCTGTTCTCTGGTACTTTCTAATTTTTGTTGCTTTTGGTATTTATTTATATAAATAATAAATATTAAATAATTATATAAATATAAAATAATTAAAATTTCTTGCAGGGCTGGTTTAGTGGTCACAAACTAAGTTTTGTTTGGGAAACTTTTTATCTATCCTTCTATTTTGAATGACAGCCTTGTTGGATAAAGCATTCTTGGCTGCATATTTTTCTGATTCAGCACATTGAATATATCCTGCCACTCCTCTCTGGCCTGCCAAGTTTCTGTGGATAGGTCTGCTGCAAACCTAATCTGTCTTCCCTTGTAGGTTAGGGACTTTTTTTTCCCTTGCTGCTTTCATGATTCTCTCCTTGCCTGAGTATTTTGTGAATTTGACTATGATATGCCTTGTTGATGGTCGGTTGTTGTTGAATCTAATGGGAGGCCTCTGTGCTTCCTTGATTTTGATGTCTGTGTCTTTCCCCAGGTTAGGAAAGTTTTCTGCTATGATTTGCTCACATAGCCCTTCTAACCCTATTTCTCTCTCTTCCTCTTCTGGAACCCCTATGATTCTGATGTTGTTCCTGTTTAATGAGTCACTGATTTCTCTAATTCTTAAATTGTGTTCTTTTGCCTTAATCTCCCTCTTTTTTTCTGCTTCATTATTCTCTATAAGTTTGTCCTGTATATTGCTGATTCTCTGTTCTGCCTCATCCATCCTTGCTGCTGCTGCATCCATCTGTTATTGCAGCTCAGTTATAACATTTTTTATTTCATTCTGACTATTTTTACTTTTTTTTATCTCTGCAGAAAGGGATTCTAATCTATTTTTGACTCCAGTCAGTATTCTAATTATTGTGATATTAAATTCGGGTTCAGACATCTTGCTTGTATTTGTGTTGCTTAAATCCCTGGCTGCATTTCTTCATCCTCTTTCTTTTGGGGTGAATTCCATCATTTTGTCATTGTGAAGGGAGAAAATGAATTAATGAGGTAGAAAAATTGAAATTGAAAAAAATTAAAATAAAAAAATCAAAAAC